ATGGCACAGCCATCGTGATTGCGCGAGCCCCTACCAGAAATTCGTTGCGCCGCCCTTGGGGGCAAAAAACGGTGAAAGCTAACGTACGAAATCAGAGGGCAGCACACGGTGCGATCGCTCGACCCTGCCCGTGAGCAATCTCGCAACTCATCTCTGTTTCTCTGCTGTCGGCTATTCATTTTTCACATTTTCGTTCAATTTGCTTTACGTAATAGACCCCCTGTTGGCTGCTCTCATCTTCTCTCTGACTTTGGTTAGAGTTACGGAACCGGGACTAAGTCCGACTGAATCCGACCGGTGTCGGTGGAAATGTAATATTTGAAAGTTCAGAATTAGAAAAAACGCGAATAGTTTCAACTTGCTGCAACTTGCAATGATGTATGGTTCTTTACGCAAAGTAAACGATAGTAAATGATATAACGTATGCAAGTGTGTATATTTGTCGCGAAACTCTACCGAGTTTCCTGATATATCTATAATATAATATAGGATGTGTAACAAGTTTAGATGTGCTGAATTGTTCGAGAGAAATGTAATATCAATCATTTTAATTTTTATAATTCATAATATGTGTATGTTTCTTCATCATATATGTTTTGAAACCAAGTTCAACAGTGTGTTGAATTAGTGATCTCATCACTGCAATATTCCAAGGTCTTTAAGACTTCTTTTTCATGTACATACTATAAAATATTTGTATGACAACTTAATAATAATATATAAAACGCGAGGTTAGGTAAAATCAGGTAATACTTAAAAATGTATGCCAAAATTAGAGGTTTGTCAAGCAAGAAAGACAGCAAAGAGTTGAAAAATTTTGTTGAAAATGCTAATATCGATGAAGTAAGTACTATATTTCACTGCAGTAGTTTTATGGATGATTCGCTTATTCTTAAATTACCTTTCTTGTTTACAGCTGAGTGATACGATTACGGCAAGAATTTGTAATCCAGAGATTCCAAAGGTATTCGGTGATATTTTACAGAGCTTCACAGAGTCAGAGACGTCCCAAACGAACAAAAGAAAACTTATAAAGCATACGATTAAAGCACTGCATAAAACTAACATCTCTAGTTATCAGGCAGATTCAATTATTAATTGCATCGTCATGGAGTTCCCACGGTTTTCGAAAGCACATCTTATCAAACTTGTTGAATTATGTCAGATCAGTATCAGAAAAAATGATGATAATTTTACAAGGTTATTTAAATTTCATACATATTTCTAATGAGTATTATTTATAAGTCACATTCAAATATATAATAAAATTGCTAGGAAAAGATTCTAGTTCATTGCATTTCATATAACAAACCATTTAATCAAATACTTTGTACATTTATAAATATCAATACTTATACATTTAAATGTTTATGAAATGTATAATTTTTTTTAATGTTAATATAGGTATGTTCAAATATATACATAGCTAGACATTCAATGATATAAAATATTGAACCGTAGCTGTTCTTTAGCAGAAAGGACTATAAAGGCACTATATTTTTTATGAATTAAAAGATGCAAATTTAGAAAGAAATCTGAGACGCTATTGAATTATTTCGTCATCAATAAAATTAACATTGAAGTATCCATTGCAAGTATAATATAACATCCTCAAAGTTATAAAGCTTGAATCTAATACATTTTTTTATAACTACTAAAATAAAGGTATTTAGGTTGATTGGGTAAAGTCTGCATCCTGATTAAGTTAGACTTAAATGAATGTTTGAAAATTGTTCTACATTTAGTATTAAAGATATTGAAGTATCAAATTTTATTCAGTTGGAAGGACCTACTACCAAGGCTTCTAGAGATCTTGGAAGATGAAAAACATATTAATTACAAAGGGTCTGAAATATCTGGGATGGACTATAAGTCTCGTATTATTGAAGCAATAATCAGTACCGATTGGGAGCCAATAATATTAACATCACTTGCCAAAATGTTTGGGTAAATCTCATTGTTAATGTACATCCAAATTTGCCTTCTACATTCAATACTTCATGATGAATGTGTCTTACAGAGATATGATTCTTGAGAAAAATGACTACAATGTTGTCGTTAGAGCTTTATGTAATAAACTTCCTGAAGTAGAATTAACTGAAATGCCACCATTAGTACATCAGTTATTGAAACTGTGCCAACATCGAGATGGAAGCTTACTTTTTGAAACCTTACGCAAGTACTTTGCAAAGCAGTACGCAGAAGCTCCAAATACTGATAATCAAGAAACTTCAGAGATGATTTGTAAGATGTGCTATGTTTATTACTATAGTTTCCTGACGTTCTAGAACTATTTTAATATTCGTATTTTTATAGGTGAAGTAACTATAAAAGATGTACGGGAAATAGAAAGCACAGTGCTTTATCACATACACCAAGCAGTACAGTTAAATTACAAGAGCTTAAAAGATTATTTACGATATCTTAAAAGTGTTACAAATTCACCAGAATTTATATTAGATCCGTTCAACATGTCTGTTTTATTGTTAATGAGTGACGTATATGAAGAACAGGTATTTTATAACATTCACGACATATATACATATGTATGAATAAATATTATAAGTTCAAAAAATCTAATATTGTGTTGGTACCATTTGTTATAGGTTTTTGATATTTTGAAGGCAAGCATTATTCGAAAAATTCAAGATGATGAAAATTGTAAAAAGAATGCATGGTTCAGAAAAATTATACCTGAAGAGTGGAATGTCTTGGCAGTGGTAGATAAAGTAGTTAAAGACAGGTAGGACAGCATGAAAAATTGCAATGTCTAATTTAATGGCACTTGTACTGTAAAACGTACTAACATGTGCCATAATGTTCAGCAAAGTACACGACATAATTTTTGTTTTCCATTTTTCATATAATTTTATGGATTTTTCAAACATAATTTTTGAATTGTTAAACAAATCATATATTAATTAATCTTGATAGCAAAGACATATTTTTCAACTGTTTACTGCTTAAAATTCTATACCGATATAGAAAATATCCCTTTCTGACTTCTGTCAGAGCGATAATACACAATGCTGTATTTACTTAATGTTGAGTTTTATTTATTTTCACAATAATTCAGTGTCTAAAAGAGATGTGAAATTTTCCAAAGATAATTTATACAAAATTATACCTTTATTCTAAAACGTAGTTATTGTTTCCTTCTTACGCCTTATTATAAAACCTAAAGTAATATTTTCTAGCTGGATTTCTTTTATGTATGTACATGTGTGTTCTTCTGTTCCTTGTATTTCACTCTGTTCTTTATAATTTCATGTATCTTACATTAATTCTCGCAGTAAAAAAGATCGTCAATTGGCATTAAAGAGTCTCATGGATTTTGCGTTCATATTAATGGGTACAGAACAACGAGGGAAATTTGATGCTACATTATTGTGGAAAATGGGCAATAAAATATTGCAGAAACTTGTAAAAAAACGACACGAAATTGGAGTAACTGTCATACAAATATTAACTGAGAAAATTATTTCTGGTGGCTGCTTAATTTCACAATACACAGGTACAAGAAATAGTTATATGTTATAAAACTATTGTGTAAAATTTAATTATTTTCTTCTAAGGGACATCTTCCAAATATTATTAACACTTTTTTTTGCCATTTACTTTCAATTAATTAAATTACAGATTGCTTGGCATTCATGTGCCGTAAATTTACAATGACAATTCTCAGTTGCCAAATATTTGTGATTAGTCTATTGGAACAATTAATAGCCGTTCCTGGAGTAGCGGGCATACAAATATTACATGCAATACTTCCGTTAATAAGAATTTCACCTACCATACGAGATACTCTCATATTGACACTCAGAAAGGCGCTGTATAGAAAAGGAATCGATACACGTCAAATGGCAGTTATTGGATTTTTACAGTTGCTCAAAAACTTAAAAGTTAGCTCAATGACTGCCCTTAGTCAAAATTGTTCCACATCATCAAATACCACAAGTTCTGTTACATCTATGTTGACACAAGTAAATACATATTATTTAGCAGTTCAAATAACACAAAAATGGAAGCAATTATAAGAATTGTTTGAACTTACAATTTTTTTTTAATATTTAAGATACAACAGTAAAGTTGTGAACTACCTAGAGCATTAACTGAATACATTGACATATTTTTTCTATTCAGAACAAAATGATTTGATTCCTAATATTTTTTCAAAAGTATTCACATATCTGTGTCAGATTCAGTAAAGATTGCGATACATAGTTTTTAGTTGAACAGTTTTTAATTTTTCCCATATTTGTGTTACCAAACAATGCGTGTTTAATTCATTAAAATGTTGCTATTTCCTAGGCAACCATAGAACGGCATGCTCATCATGGCAAGTCAAATCCTACATATGACGCTGCTGTATGTTCTGAAATATTAACGATTCTGAATAAATGCTTTGTGCACGTTGCAAATGTACGTTTACATTTGTACCAAGGTAAATTTATCAAATCAAGACTTAACAAGTCTTCTAATATTAACTATTCTAATAACATTTTTTGTTTAGGATTATATGACGCCGTATCAAAGAATTCAGATTTATCAGAACCAGTGTTACAAATGCTAATCATACATTTTAATCAGTTTTATGAACCCGATGAAGATACGTTACCGCCTCTGAAGTTTGATTTGTGTACAAATATTCAAGGTGTTGAAGCTGTTCTTCTTGAACCGATTGGAGACTTAATTATGGTGATACAAAAACTTTATGTGAAAGTAGCATCAAATAATTTTGCCCTTCTGGATAGATTGGCAATCATGCTTGAATCCCTCTGCAAAAGAATGTCACGATCCGAACTGGAACACTTAAGTTTGGTAATATCATTTTATAACAATATCTTATTACATTAAACACACTAGGCATGTTGCAAGTTGATACAAAATGAAATGTTTGCTAGGATTCTCAAGTACAGAACAAATGTTTACAAATTTTAAATAAATTTGTCAAGAATCCTAGATGTTTTCATCATGAAGTAAAGATAGGTGTCGAATCGTTAAAATAGAACGTTTCATGTTAGGATTGATAATAAATAAAAGCAAATAATTGCGCAACAACAATGAATTAAATTACTAAATATTTCTTAAATAGATGTATCATTCACAATATAATCAATGACGATAGTATATTATAGTTTCTAAGTATTCTTGACTTATCTCTAGGATGATGGATCAGATCTTTTGGATAATTTACCAAAGGCGCAGCAGAAACTACAAAGCTTCAAATTAATGATTTCAACTTATGAAGCATTAATGGCGTTTAGAATTATGGGTTGGTCTACACAGAGCGCACATGTAGGTCAAAACGTTTATAGCCTTTTCAAAGGGTACTCTCGATTAGTTGATTTCAGTAAGGTAAGGATCGTAATATTTTATTCGTAAACAGGAAGGGGCATTTTCGGTAGCTTATATTTTAAATACAATATAAATATATTAACGTCACTTCTAATCTCCCAATGGTAATAATTATATACCATTGGTTTTGTTGCTTGTAAAATTATGCGTCAATCTCAACATTTGTTTATGTTACCATTGTTTAAAATTATTCTTGTTTCAAGTTTACCAATCTTTCATGATTGACATGCTTATAAATAATGAAACATGCACATTCTTAATAAATATAAATTTATTATTTCAGCGAATTAATAAGACTAAAAAAGGAGAAGCAAAAAAGAAAGACAAAGATGCTACAAATACTACTATTAAAAAATCTGGACGTTCTGCAGCGATGAAACTGCCGGCTACTGTTTTAGACTTGGATACAATTTACAGAATACTTTCATTACTGTTTCAGTTAGTAGATTTCATCTGTCTTGTAAAACAAAAACGCGTATTTAAAATTATATGAAATCAATGGCAAAATTTCTGCATTGTCATAATACCGGTCAAGGTGAACACGCATTAACCAGTTAATTTCGGAGATTACTGACACGTTAATATTTACCGACATATGTACATACTCGTCAAACGCAGTTAACTGATTAAATGCGTGTATTTGTTTGGAATCGAATTTTGTTATTCCTTGGATAATTTATACGTCACCCGTGATCACTATTGCTATTTTCTATAAGTTAATTCGATATTACAATTTATCTCAGTCGTGTAACTAAAATTTTAATTATGTTTTCATTATTCTTCAGAGAATCTGTACCGTGGGCTACTGATGAACAATCAAATTCGCTGAAAAGCCATCAAGATTTTCATCATTATATTCTTCACACTTTGATACAACTTTTACACAAAGCAAAAAATTTGACAGGCTTGGATCTTGAAAGGCATAGAGACGAATTTGGAAAAATTTATCTCGACATTGGCGAGTACGTATGCTTAGAAGTATAATCAACGATCATTATTTGATATCCACTCACGTGATTCCTCCCAAATTTCAACGTGATTGGTCATATAACTGGTACTAAATAGGACTGAATTGTAAATTCTTAATGCACGTATGTGTAGCTGCACATCGATGTAAATATAAAAGCATTTGTTTTCGATTTTGGCGATGATACGATACAAATATGTGTTAATTTTAACTCATATTAACTGTCGTTTACGTATAAAGCAGTTCATATCTAACAACTACATACCGTGTTTTAAAAAATAGTTTCGGGTACATGTAACGATGTAAAAAGAAAGTTTTGGCTAAAGCGCTCAACATCATATTGCTTCGTAGTCCTCGGATTATAAAGTGTCAAAGGTACCGAGGTTCGCGTTTACCGTAATCTAATAATCTTGAAATGTATAAAACACGCTTCTTGAAGTATTAATGCTTTTAGTAACTCGATTTTATATTTTTGCAGATTACTATACAAAAAAATTATTACGGAATTTGAAACAGTTTTAAACACTGCTCCGCAAACAGCTCTACTTGGTCTTGAATGCTTTAAAGATATGTGCGATTTAATGTGCACATCATACTCTTCCATTCTGCTTAAATTCCTAGCCTGCATTTGTAAGTTTTGCATTACTGATACATATTACATATATCACAGGGTAATGTGTTAACTATCTTTTTCGTATCGAATAATACGGAAAAGTCGTTTATATTGTCTGGGACATTTGCCCGTGTATTGTTAGAAATGAAGGAGATAAATTAGGTACCCCTTTTTTCCAGGACACATTTTATAAATATATCTTAAAATCCTTTGATTTTGCGATCTTTAATAACTTGACTTAATGGGATCTTGATATTCAAATTCTACATTCTTTTTGAAATCTTCAAATCTTACAAAATTAGGTCTCCAAGTTATTTAAATTTACTTTTTTAAAAACTCACTTCAAAGATTCATTGGAAATCTATTATATTATGTCAAGTGACCTGTGCCTTATTTCTAGTTTCTTAAAAGCAAAAGGGTATATATAATTTATTCTATACTCATACATTATAGGTGATGTCGAACTAGACACTGATTTAAGCACTCAGTTAATCGGACTCATCGCTCCTTTGCAAGTATTGGTTGAAACATCTCTTGCTCAAGAAGAGGACGAGGATACTTCTGTAAAGAAAGTCCCACAATACCTTTTGGAAACCATTCTTCATCTTGTGGAAAAAATCCCTTCTAACGATGTTAGCCATCCTGAAAAGGTAACTAACTCTTTCTTATTTAAGAATGAATTTAGTTTTCTAAAAATCTGTATATGCCGACGAACTTGTAACTTATTCCTTAGTTGTCACGCTATTAAATCACCTGTGTTTATCATGGCTCTTACTCAATGCTTCCAAGAGCACTTATGCCACCCTACTAAAAATTCGTATAAATGGAAATATTACGTAATTTATTTGCAATCACGGTTATAGAAAATATTTCTGGTAGATCTTGTAAGACTTATTTAATATTCATGATTTTATATAATTCATCGAATTCGCCACAACAAGTAACATAGATTCCTTTATTTTAATCTGTCGAGATATACAGATTGTTACAAAAATGGTGGACATGGTTTATACATCGCTATCCTTGTCGAAAATGGAATTGACAAATTCTGTACTATTTTTATCTGCAGTGTATTGTTTACCTGTAATGATTAATTAAAAAATAGCCAACCTGGCGCATCGGTTAGCAGAATGTGTATCGATACATTATATATTAGTTACATAGCTCCTTCAAACTAACATTCAAAGTTACTTATTTAAGATACTCTACTTCAATAGATACTTAAATGGCTGAAGCAGTTGCCTAAAACCCAGAAACTGGACCCGCCAGTTGCTTTAGTTGTATTGAAATTGTTGCTGCTAGTAGAAGAACGTTGGTTTGAACACGGCGAAATACACAAGGAAATTTGTACCCAATTGTGTGAAAAGATAGGCACCGTGGACAAGGTACGCTAACTGAACTTATTTAAATTATGATATTTTGTTTTTTTCTATTAACGTACTAATATTCTGTTATTAACATTCTGAGTTATATTTCGCATGATTTTTTTTGGCAGACTGAGATTTTGATCGAAGAAACACTGAATATTATAGATGAAAACACTGCATTACAAGTTCATAGTGAATTGAATACTTCATTAACTAACAAAATAAATCATATGACCTGGATATTGGATCGACTGAAAGCAGAACAGATTATTGCAAATACACCTGGCATTGAAGACGAGTCACGTACTATTGCTTTTTAAAATTAATAGTAAATTTTATTTGCGAAGCATGTATATATATAATCAGCAAACTTCAATGTCATAGGCAGAGAACAATTAAGAGAAAAGGAGCGTAGCTTGTGCCGTCAACTAGCTTTTAATATTCAGACCCTTCAAATATTGACTAATGTTGCCATTGGACCAGGCTCGAACACTGAAGTTACGTTTAAAAATCTTCAACATTTGTACAACTTATTGAGTAACTTTACGAAATATCTATGTGGTAAATCAACGGCACAAAATCCAGCCTTTCAATCAATTAAGTGCGTATTACTAATTACTTGCATCTAAAATCTGCATCTTACGTGTAAAACAATGTAAAGGAATTCTATGTGCATCATTTTAGTTACAAGCAATTTTATTTAATAATTGACATTCAAATAAGTATTATAAGTTATATTTTATCTCCTTTTCATTTCATAGTTTTACGAGAAATTCTACTACCTGTAATTATTTTGCTTCTCTTCATGTACCAAGTTTTTTCCATGACTTAGGTAACAAAAAGATTCTTTTCTGTTAAAATTCTAATATTCCTTTTAAGTGTAACGTTTAAATAATATATAGGTTAAATTTTTATCTATGTTTAACGAATTTGATAGGTTTATTCAAGTTGTCCAGCTGGCTGGTAAACTTTTGAAAGCTACTTGTTACGAGTTGATAACTTTCACTGAGGTAAAATAATAAAAATACTTCTTTAGACACTAATACTGAAATGTTATTATGTTACATATAATTAATATACTGCACTTTTAGCAAAATCAAACAAAAAACAAGAAGACTGGGGACACGCAAGCACAAAGAAATAGGATTCTTAAAGAAACGAAAAGCATTCCCAATGTAATTAAAGAAATTGAACGATTTGACCAAGAAATATTACTTCTGAGTAAAAAAACTGGAGTAAGTAATAAAACATTTTTAAATCTTATCTGAACTAAAATAATTTGTCGCTTCTGTGTACTAGAGAGCACAAGTACACACAAATGCTTGGTTACAATTGCTTAACGTCATACGTAATTGCAAGTCTTTTCACGTGTTTTGATTACACAATTTGTCTGAAATAATGGCAATTGGCAACTAACTGCAGAAACAAATCATTTTGTTCGTGTTCAATTTTGCCCAGGGACTAAATATATCATGATCGATGGAATTTTTTCATCCATGAATAAAATCATTCAATGTGTAGTTTTTTTTTTGGTTCAACTACGTTTATTTTGTAATTACCTACATTTAGACGAGCATATGTTTATATACAATTATTTTCCAGATTCCATTAGAAGAGCATATCAAACACAGTGTCACACGGGACTTCCGCATAAAAAACACAGAATTAGTTGAAGCGTTGGAAAAAATGGATACATCATTGGTAAGAGTATAATAGAACTTGTTAGCAAAATTTATAATGAAAATTAATACAAATGTATATATTTCTTAGATGGTAACCCAACAGTCTACAGACAATGTATCCCGAAGTGAACAACCTGAGAATGAAACTGTAAGTTCAGAAGAACAGGAGGAAGTTTCTCCACCTAAGAGAGCCAAAAGAAAAGTCAAATCTCAGACTACGAGCCAAACACAAAATTAATATACATTGATTGCAGAATTGTAAAATAAAAATGAGTTCTTTTTTATACAGAAAAGGTATTTATTAATATAAACTGAATATGAAAATATATATGTTCTTCTTCGACGACTCCTCGGCGGCTTCTTCAGGACGGCCGTCTCTTCGATTTTCGTTATTCTTCCTCTTGTATCTCATCCATCCGCACTTCATTGAGTCGTTCACGCAACGCGCGATGGCTCCGATGCGTGTACGAGCGAGAATTGAACTCAGGGGTCGGAGGCATCCCGGGATGTGCTCTCTAGGAATAGGCTCTTTGCCCCCGGGTGGAATGTGAGAGAATCGTGGAGCGAGTGTGTTGGAACGAATGTGATTGTTCTTTTAGCTATAGCTAGGGAGGCAGGATAGTTGTTTGGAGTGAACGTCTAGATGTAAGCAGGCAGGGCTAGGGCAGGATCTCTTCCCGGGGGTTTGGGGGGAGATCCTGGACCTGGGGTACTTTTTCATCGTTCGCGCTCTCGGGAGTGTGGAGGATGTCGGACCTGAGCCCGGGGTTCTACGCTGAGGGGAAAAATAAGTTTCCGGAAAATATTAATTCTTGCCATTTTTTTTTCACCAATATTCCAAATCCTTTGAGACCAATTTTGGACATGAAATTCTTTTCGCAAAATCGTTTCCGCCTGATATTAACGGGTTGCACCTCTGATTCTTACAAATTCAACTTTACCGGAGCCATGCAATTTTTTTAAATAAGAAACGTCTAGATGCCGTGAATAATTAATTTTATTCTGGAAAGTGAATTATTCGCTCAGGGTACTTCCGGACACCCGCGATTGCAAAATATTCTTTCAGGATTGAAATTAATTAAACCGCTCTTGGGAATCCGGATGCATGTGCAATACGCACGGACTGCGCATCCTCGGATCGCAGGTCGTCGTTTTGCTAGCTTTTGGATCTGCTCGCGGAGCGTTTTTTTTTTAATACGAAACATCAGGGGATTGCCAAGCGTTCGAGACGTAGGGGGCCCTGCTCGAAGAGACTGCAAGAGTCGAAGAGACTATATGCCGAAGCGGCCATTTAAGAAGAGGGCAACTACGATGGCCTTACGTTCTTTCGATCGGACAGCTGTCCATTTTTTGGCCACGTTTTCCCTCCTATTTTTTTCTGTCACTTTGTCAGGATTGACGGAGAAGAGACGGCGCATGATCATTTCGATTATATTTGGTCGATTCTACATTTAAATGGATTTTTTCCTACTTAGTGATATGAAAAGTACCACTTCAGTCAATTTAACGAGACCGATCTCCCATTAATATTCTTCACTTTTAGTAACTTATTCCTTGTCTAATCTCAGACTTCCTGGATTTTTTTAATGTTGTGTTTTGCCTGTTCTTTTGTGCCTTTTTCCAGGCTTAGGTGGATCACAACAGGATCCATTTTTTTTTTCAAGTCATCATGGGTAGTTCGTCGCCACAGATCTTGCTGGACTTGTTGGTAAGAGATGTTAAAAGGTGTTAAGCGATGTTTGTAATCACAGAGATGTGTTGGGAGCAGATACGAAGAGGATCTTTGAATTGGGCCGCCATTGGGGGGTATCTGGTGTCAAGTGCGTGAGCCGCCCACATCCTCCACCGAGGGCAGCACAGGACGCGATCGCGCGACCCTGTCCGTGAGTAGCCTTTTTACTCAACTCAGTCAGTGGCCGCGGTATACGGAACGTTCGGAGTAGTGTGCGTAGTTTGGGATGCTTAGGTTAGGATATCTATTTTCATAATTACTCATTTTTATTGTAAAACTGGAATGTCAGGCGACTATTTCGGTATTTCGATTCTTTCACTTTTTCGGATATCCGAGTTTGATCCTGCGTAGGGGCTCCGGACATTTCGCGCGCGAACAAACCCCATATTGCAGCGGGAGAACTTTCGAAATCCATCCTAGGGGGTTTCACCGATTTTTCTTTGATTGAAGTTAAACAGAAAACGTAGCGATAATATCCGTTTTTCGAAGACTCGAGTACCTACCGAAACTAACCTACCGAACATGGCAACCGGCGAGGCAGGTACTCCTCATCATTTTAGTGAAGACACCAACTGGAGAAGGGACATCGTTTCCCAGCTTCGTGACAGGAATAGATCACAAACCCACTGCTTCTATGAGCTCATCAGTTCGCGTAAGATATAAATAATAGATAAATCTTTCTTCGGTTACATATTACGTTACCAGCCTTGACACTTTTCTGTCTATTTACAATTGTCAGCATGGTTCTTTTAGAATCGTAATCTACTAAAACGTGTACTCGTCAATTGTATACATCATATAATACCAGAGAAATTTGTTTACCGTGATCTAACTTAAGTTGTTTTTAAACTTCCGATTTTTACCTTGAGATCGTAGCATTGCTCTCGTACTGTATGTAAGAATCAGGTTATAATTGTACCTTTATCGTTGCTGCAACGTCTACCGTGTTACCACAAAATGTTTCCATTGGTATATGCTTGTTATCGTTATTGTATTGTTAATGTGTATTAATTTTACAGATAATCGTTTGTTTGAAAGGGCAAATTCTATTAGAAGCGGAGGTCAACAAATTGCCGCTCAAAGTGACAATTTGCATGGAGAAGGTAGCAGCACCGGTGGAGCAGCACCTGGAAATGCGGCGCTCGAAGCTCGATTGCTTGCACAAGCAGAGGAATTAGCGACGTTACATAAAAGAAGAGGGGAGCATGCACAGCAAATTGTGGATCTTAATAATAAACTGCAGGAAATGACCAAGCAGCTGCAAGAAAAAGAAGCTAGGTACTTTAAAGAATTGTATTCCGTGTTTACTTTGATAGTTTATCGTTTCATAATTATATGGTAGACTTAGATAAGAATTTTCCTTTTAGTTTAGCGGAAGCTGTGGAAGTGAATGCGAATTTGCACCTGAATATATCAAGGTACATTACTAAAGAACGAGAACTGGAAAATATCAATCAAATGCTGAAGGATGAATATCAAGCACTGCAGCTGGCTTTTAGTTCATTGGAAGAGAAACTTAGGAAAGCTCAAGTAAGCAAGTTTTCTATACACAAGGCACATAAATTAGTGTTTCACCAAGGAAAAACAATAATTAAAAATTATTGTAATTTAAAATTGGTATAAATGAACAAATGGCACCAAATTATAATAATGAAGCTTTAGTGCAGTAAAATTTATGCATTATAACATTGTAAATTTGTAAATATTTTGCAGGAAGAAAATCGGCAGTTTGTTGAACGCCTGATTAAATATAAATCTAAAGATGCTGATAAGATGAATGAAGAGAACGATACTTTCTTGAAGTAAGTTTCTGATTTACTGATTTTAAATTTAATGCATGTGTAGCGCTTTTATCCTACCTACAAATTAAGAAAATGTCCATGTGAAAATGAAAGAACACTCCTTAGGACTGCTGGGTCTAATATCTTTAATTTGGCTTTAATAATTGCTATTGTAAGCATGTAAATATGTTGAACCGGTAAACTAACTAAGGCAGTAGTAGTGCGTGTACTACATATAGGTATATTTTCTTGAAGACTACAAGTTCTGCTTTTTCTCATCTCTAATGCTGCTTATATTAATATCGGATCAAATAATTAGTCTCAGAGTTTATTTCTGAATTATTAACTTTACAAGGTATTATGATAAACTGTTTTACTGGTATTTTATTATATTTTTTATAACAGTTAAGATTTTTTTTATACATTTTTTGGAATCCAGAGATTAAAAATTCCATTTATTTTGTGGAGTAGTTTTAAGAAATATCCGTCGAAAAGTAGCTTGCATAAAAATACCTAAAAACTGAAAAGTATCTTGGTAAATTAATATTTTCGATTTTAGAACCTCGGAGTGTAGAAATGATGTACTTCACATTTTTTAGTATGCATTTCTGGTATTGTATGGTACAAATAACAACTATTGTATTAATTTATTAATATCCGTTACTTATCAATTCAATAACAATGTTGGTATTGCATATATTTCCAATGTATATGTTTTATACTGACTATTAATGTATAGAGGTCCACATATGATGGACATTATACGTGAATAAATTTAGATTCCACATTAAATATATGCTGAGGGTATTTTTGTGTATAACATCGTTGGTTCGTATGAAAATATATTAACTACATTGTGCAGTTCTAGTAGTGAAAACATGAAATTTGTTTGTAATAATTTGTGAAGTATCATTAATCTATAAGATAGAAAGTAGTATATTCAGGACAAAATGAAAAAAAAAAGTCAGGATTANTTCCATACAAATATAAAGTTACAGTTACATATACGAAGTTAGTACGATGGGTTTTCGAACAACGGTAGAAGATAAGTATTTTATTTTAGCCAAACATCTAAAATAAGCCTTGTTTTACACGTATCTGCTATCGGAGGTCTGACGTTAAATTTTCGATTGCTACTTAACTTGTATGCACCATTGATTTTTATTCATTTCTTTTTGTTTAATATGTGCGCTAAGTGTAACTTCAGTTTATTCGGTAAAGGTAATTGCGTCCATCTGTTGGAAATAAGTGTATTTTGAGTATCGGATATTCAATCGTCGGCATATGTTAAACGAAGATAAGCCATTAGAACGAAACAAGATTTTGTATAATATATTAGAGAAATGTTTAACTCACATTGATGACGTTGGAATTGAGAATATTTGTACGGGATAAACAACATTGGAGGTTACCTTTGGTTAAAAAAGTGGGAAAAAGGAGGGGTTAGCGAATTTGTTGGTAGAATACATAAAAGTCCGGTATATGGAAGATTGGATGTAAAATGTAATCCTGTACTGGATTTACATTACTACACCTTACTAGCATGTTCCACAAAGTCACAACATCCAGTTGCTGTAGGGCTTGCTACACTAGCGACTTCACATGGCTTGACATTTTCTTTTCAGCGAGAGTTTTACCAGTCCGACAGCCTTTTTGATGCATACCTTATCAAAATTTGGGTAAGTTTAGAAGCGAAAGTTGGAGAAATTTACGCTTTGAGCTAATGGCTTTTGGGCTAGCCGATCATTTTCAAACAATGCGTCTTATGCATCGTGGCAATAATGTATACAAAGTATCACTGAGACTTTTATTAAACCATTAGCTGCAAGATCAACGGTACTAGGTCTTACTACCACTTTGTAAATATGTATATACTTTATGACGATTAACGTTGCACATTATACCCAGAATTACATTAAACTTGTTAGACGGTGAAGCGGAGTAGAAACTTGTTTGTATTTGCAGACTGAGATTATATAATTGTGACTTTAATTCGATTAATTACGCTTGCCTTCTATTGACGTTTTATGTATTCATCCTATTAATATTCCAATTATGGACAATATTTACTACAGGAAATTGACTTAGAAGATATTTCAGTGACTTAGTATTAACTACGTTGGAAAGAACGGTATTTAATACTTAAAACTGAATGTTAGTTGTTCCGACGTATAAATTGCATTAAGAGTAATATAGTAAAATAAATAATAGTTTAAACAAGAAATTGTAACGATGCTTGGCTGGTGGTCCAATATGCATGCAAAATATCATGATTTCATTTAACAGATACTGGTACGTAACATAAATCATGCATAGGTGTCTGGTGGTGTTTTAATGAGTTAATCAGCGTGTTTTCTTCTGTGCACACAGTTTGTAGCACTTATGATTGTTTACGTTCTATTATCATATTTCAGGAAGAGGCAAACAAGGATACAAAAGGAATTGGAAGAAGCAGCTCGAGACACAAGGCCGATCAGCCCTGATCGAACAAATTTGAAGGAGGGAATTGTTGGTCTTCCTGCAGCTATACCCAGTAAAATCTCCGTCAAGTTTGTACGTTGATTTATAAATGATCGTTGATTTTATAAATCGAATGCCTTAGCCCCTTTATTCGATACATTGTCGAGAACTGTTGAAAGAAATTTGCCGAAAGGGTGAAGAATAATTGTCGGTTAGGAGGACGTGAGACTCAATAGTAGTAAATTTACGTTTCAATTTAATTGGAATGAAAAAGTAATTATTAATATGATGAAACATGAATAGTTAAGTGACGGGCATCGTGCATTTCTCTGTAAGTTCGTTATCATTTCCTAGCATAAGTCATTTACTACATTCAGCGTACATGCGTTCGCAACATCGGGTATCTTAACAACTGCGTTTATTTTAATTTCTTATTTATTTGGCGCCGATTAACATTGCCGTCCATTGTTTTATAAAGCGTTACATTAGGTAGGTACGATTTTGAAAGGCTTATGAGCATGCGCACGCTCGCATATAAATAAGTATGCATTGAAATAAACATAACTGACGTTAAAATACCTATTTCTTACGGAATTATTCATTAGCACGTTAAGTAGACATCAGAGGCCCGTTGGGTGTGATAGCGGTTATCGCTTTCGGCAGGTGTAGGCAATATTGTACAGAATGTATCCTGTAACTGTTGTTTTCTCAGCGCAAGATGCAAAGAAATTCTACAGTGAGACATCCATTAACTTCCGTACGGAGTATTTTCCTTCTTTTTAACCAACTTTAAAAAAGTAGGAGGTTCTCAATTCGATCCGTATATTTTTTTCTCTTTTTTTTATGTACGCTTTCGTTAACCGATTTGATGAATTATTTCTTTTGTTTTAAAGATGACCCTTTCAGGGTGATCTCATGTAAGTTCGATCATGATCCGATCGTGAAATCCGAAGATAGACAATGGAAGTCCTGTATGATTGTCAATAATCGTCCCGTGATTGGGTTATTTTTTTAACCGACCTCTTTTATTTTACGTAATTAAAAGTTTGAAACCTCAAGTCAATGAAAAAGTTTTTGTAATAGGTATTAATCGTTAGAATGACATAATGTAAACAAGTGAGATGCTGTCGGTAAATGTAATTGTTGAATTCGTTCCTAATAATTCATTATTGAACCTGACGGCATAAGGCGCTATATCAACGTCTACCGATATCCTTTATTAACAATTTTATTAGAGTCGCAGAAGAGTTTGCTTGACGTAACTTCAACTAAATACCGAACATTTGTATTTTCAACATTTGAGCATACCGGTCGAGATTTTCGTTTACATTTTCCGTTGCAAAAATGTTTTTATGATTACATGAGTGTTATTTAGAAAATTAGGTCGGGTAAAGACCCGTTTAACAAACTGAATAGGCATGCTTTAGTTACTAATCGGTGGCAGGTTTTTCGCAAGGCTTTCACCGCAGTTAGAGTAACGTGTGAACGGGTTATAGTAGACGGTAGCAAGCTGTTAACGAAAATATTTCAGACTAATTATCGCCCAAGATTACATTTTTTAAAGTATCCGAAAACACTCTGTTGGCCTAGTTTAGCTGTAAACCCATTTTTATGTACTACATTTCGTTTCATCATTTTCTAATTACTCGGCACTAATTTTGCTTTGCATGGCTCACGATCGGTAACATCAATCGTTCTTTGTACCAATGTTCGTTAGGACAAGTGCAACACTCAGCATTCCATGTGTAATATATTCACGGTTATAAACAGTAGTGAACCTTACAGAATGCACACGATGGAGAGGTAAGCGCTGTCAAGTGGTCTCCGGTAGACAGAATCCTGGCAACTGGTGGCGCCGACAGGAAAGTGAAGCTCTGGGACATAACTAAAGGTAATTTCTTAATCAAATTCCCTCTAGATCTCATGTTTCATTTATTCTACTCTCTAACTTATGATTGGGGTGGATACCCATCCCGTTTTTTTCTCCACGCCAAAATGTTTCCTATCAGCAGTAAAGGGGAACGCGAATTTTTTCGTTTTTTAACTCATTTGTATCATTAGCGCATATATGCACTTAGTCTTCCTGGTCACTATCACCGGAGCGCATATATGCGCTCAATTTTGCTGGTCACTATCATTCATCCTGAAATTTCAGCGATAAGGACCCTTTTTTCATATTTCCTTATGATGCAAATGGGTTAATAAGGAACAAAATGGTCAGGAGGAAATTAAATTTCATTCAAGTTTAATTTATGGATATTCTATTAAAATACCCGTGAACAACAAAAATGGTCGGCTTAGGAGCGAAGTTTCTACGAGCGAAACCTACTGAGGTGGGTTTATACCCCATTCATGAATTTTAGAGTTAACATTCATTAAAAAAAAAAAAAAACAATATTATACCACAGTGAATGTGTATCTTCCATTGAATTAGGAACCTTTAATGGTATCGTGTTTCGAGTTCTCACCATCCAAGCGGGAGATTAATGACCTTATGGGTAATTATTTGTCATAGTTTAGAAAATGGATTCTCAGCAGTAAATTACCGATTAAAATTGTATTTTATTGATTTGTTCAAATTACCTGGAACGTTAAATGATGTAGTATATTTTTTTCTCCCCATTGACACTTCATGCAGATCGTACGTGTCACTGTTTCAGCATTAATGTTCATCTATTGTTCTAAGATATTCGAAATTGTCCCCGTCCAGTTAATACCTTCTTTAATTATTTAAAAATCACGAGGTTTTTAATGAAGAATTTCACTGTGAATGATATATTAATCTGAATTCTACACAGGCGCCCACAATTACAAAAACGGTTCGAATGATTTCTTTTTGTCAAAATACTAACTTCATAGTATCGTAATTTAAATGTCTGGGTATACGTAACGCAAAATATGGGATAAATTCATTTTGTCTACATTTTTTTACTTAGACCACTCGAAATTATGGGCAGGCGTATAAGTCCAAACTCGGTAAAAACTTATTCTGATACATCTTTGTTAGTTAATTCATCTAAATGATATAAAAGCGATTAATTTCACGAGAATTGAGAATTTTCACTTGCGCAGTGGTTAGAGAAAAATATATGAATGATTAAATCGTCACGAAGTGTACGGGGTAAGAGCTTATTCTAATACATTTTTATTAGTCATTACATTAAATTGACATAGAAGGGATTGATTTCACGACGAAAAAGAATTTTCACTCGTGTTGTGGGTAGAGAAAAATATGAATGATTAAATCCCTGCGAAGCGTATGGGAGATTCCTCCCAAATGCTTCCGCATCGGAGTCTCTTCACGGCTTAGCGAGTTCTGAAATCGGCGGATTCAAGCTCGAGAGGGGACGCGACACCCCCTGGAAGCCCGGCATGAAGAGGGCGGGACGTGTCGGGCACAAAGCCGTTTGCGGCGGGCTCAAAGGCAGCAATTGCGCGGCATTCTTGTCGCACATCCTCCGCTAATGAAGTATGTTGACGAATCAACAGGTACCCAGGGCGCTCGGCTCGCGGATCCGTGGAAAAGTGGTTGTCGTCGGAGGGTCGGCGCACGTGTTACGAGGCTGTAATTCCCCCTAGGTGCAAAGTGAACGAGAGACAGCCGTCGTTATTGGAGTTACACCCGTTTAGTTAAGCGGCCGTGACAAGACGGCAACCGCGAGCTCGCAGATTGCGATCGCACCGCGCGCGTTCTTTGCGTCACGCTGCGTAGCAATTAAACGATCCCGTAAATTCAATTAGACACCACGGGCAGGCTCCTTGACGGCAAGCCGGGCGGCATGTGGTTTAATGACATTTAATCGTACCATTGCAGGTGCTTTCGAGAGCAAAGGGATCCTCGTGGGCAGCAACGCCGGCGTCATGTCCGTTGACTTCGACTCCACGGGTTCTCTCATCTTGGGGGCCTCCAACGACTTCGCCAGCAGGGTGTGGACCGTCAACGACCTGCGTCTAAGGGTAAGTCGCTTTAATATATATATTTTTTTTTGTCTCCAAGCCCGTTTCCGGGCCTCCCTTAATCTTTGGTGGTTATGCCGAAGTTATGGAAGCCATCCGTTGTCCTCACTCTGGGGATGATGTAGGGCAATTTTAATAATTTTTACATTTTTAATTCTGTAAGTGATAATAATGAAGTTTTACCCCTGAAACTGGGCACGTACATTAACCGACACTTTCCACTACGAGATGGTTTAGGTTTTATCGGTTTAAAAGTTCATGGAAAATTGGCTACTTTATTTTCCGTACCGAATGTCTTTGTTACAATTGCTATAGATATAGGGGGCGATTGTAACACTAGTAGGAGGAAATGTATTACGATATTTATTAATTTGAAAAATTGAAGGAATATTTAAGGATGAGGAGTATATGACAAGTACTGTTACGTGAGTGTACCAAAGTTAGAGTGTTTAAATCGTTAACATTATGATTCCGAATACTACTTTTCTATTCGTTGCAATTGACGGAAACTGTGGATTTTTTCTTCTCGAAAATGTGTGCAGGAATGATTTAAGAAAACAAGGAATAATGTAGATGACAATAGATGCCAGGGGTATATTATATTGTGTTGGTGCAAGTCGCACTTAACGATAGAGGGCAGTGCTGCTGGCCTAGGCTATCCTAAGGAGCACTGATTCCCGATCCTTGTTTGCTTTTGGCGCGCAAGGATCCTATTTTTTAGTGGGACGACTGAGGTGGTCGCGGTCCTTGGTTTTCGTTAAGACTCTTCGAAGTCTGATTTCGTTCTGCTGAGAAAATTATGCTACTTGCTTAACCGGAGGTGGAGGCGTAAGCAAACGCATCGCGATTGGTGGAATAGAAAAAAAGGGAGGGTCTGAAATTCCCAAAAAGCCACGTAGAGGGTGGACTAACTTGTAACGGTAAATCGAAAAATGTGCGCGACACATTTTGCAGCTGGGAGCGAGGGCTCGAAACGGATTAGTATTTATTATAGGGACGCGGAAACTATTGAAAAATGAAGAATAGATTTCGTTACTCGTTACTTTAAGCTAGAAGGTTCCGCGGGCGGTAATTCCCTTATTGCAGGGGCCATAGATGCCCCTTTTTCGGATTGGCGCGGTAAGGACCTCGGACGACCCGCTGAATATAATTGCCTATTGTTAGCTCGGGGTAAGGGACGTTGCTATGTGCATTTAAGTTTCAACATATTGCAAATTGATAACGGAGAAAGATTACGCGCAGCGTTACTTTAGTGCCGCCATTTGTTTCAAGACTCAGAATGGAGAATTTATTGAACTATGTTGCCGTGCGATTTTTCAATTTATTCCTGCACGTTTGAATTCGCGTGTAATGAAATATTGATTCGGCGAATTTTTGAAAGGGTACGAGTTAGGTGTAGGGCGCGCCAGGAAAGATGCGAATGGTCGAAATCAATTTTCACTCACTTTGGTAAGAAAAGCTTTACGTATGCGCATTGCACGCCAGAAAGCATCGAGGATTAGAATATAGCTCTAGCTTTTGCAAAGGTCTTAAACTTGGGATTGAAGATTTTGACGAAATTGAATATCTTTACTTTGTAGTTTGGAAATGGGGTTGCCCTTTCGGAGGAACCATCTTTTCCATATGCACATTTACCTACGATACATTTATTTTAGGTTGATACGTCGAACCTTAAGATATCCCCACGCTAGGCAAAAAATTTACTTTCTAGGCAAGATTAAATAACTTTCGGCAATCTAAGTGTTTCTTGCCAAAGAAATGTCTTGCCTTCAAGAACATCGATTTGGTAGGAATCATCAGTGCTGGAATTCGTATAACGGCAGCTTCATATCAAGTAGAAATGATTTTGAGAATAATATTTTATCTACAACTGGTCTCGAGAATCGTTGATATCAATGAAAATGATACTATATTTCGGATACAATGTTGTATTGAACTCAAACCCAATACATGATGTACAAAATTATCAATGGAGAATAAATATTGTTCGAAGTCGATGCAAGAAGGAGTTCATCCGATAACTATTAGAGGTGTGAGAAAAAAAAAAGAAATATCGGAATTCTGATAATTCTATTAAATTCTAGGTTGTTACAAGAATATTATTGATTCTGTCAATGTCTTTCACTCTTCGATGTACATCAATTTTTTTTTCTACCACGTTTATCTAACGAAAATGTAACGACGAGTTAGAACACACCTGGCGGAGATAAGCTTAAGAAAATTAAGTATTGTTTGTAATTTGCTTTCGTTTCACTTTATCGTATTTTTTCTTGATTGTAGCTGGTAAAGATATGCATTTTACTACTTTGCTACCACAGGAATTTCTTTTTTTTCCTCTAGAAAGTGATTTTTTTTTCGCTCACGGTCCACAAGTGCCAAACGAATATTCACTCGAGGAAGTACTCTCTCCCGAACAAGTTGCACATTGTTTACACGAGGGATGAATTCTAATTTCTCTCAGCCTTGGGACCTTTATTTCAGCCCGTGGACGTAATATGTTTAAGTTTTCGCTAATTCCCGTGTTTCTAGTAGAGGGCATCGCGGTTTAACCGAGCCATGCGTTGCTCCTAATTGCTCGTTAGGTCGTAACCCTAAGTGATCAACAACGTACCGTTATATCTCGGGATCTACTTATCGTACGTCTTTTTCGAAAGGATCGTACGGTTTGGCTTTCAACAGGGAATCACGTAGTACGCGGCGGGGCGTGAATTACGCCATACCCTGTATAATTTCTTCATTTGAATGGCGCTCTAAATCTTAACAGGTACTCCGCCTACGCCGGAGCTGTACTTGTCCCTCGAGTGACCGATGGGATTTCCTCGTTTGCGATAAGGAAGGTTAAACGAGACTCTACGTTACTCGTACGGTCGGATCGAGAGATCGCGAGGGGCATTTTTATTTTCCTTCTAGAGACCGATTCAACGTCCGGGTGGTGCACTGTTAAAAATGCCTCCATTTTTCGAGTACAAACGTGTACTGAAATCATATGTAATGGAAAATAATTCGCAGTCACGATATGGGGTTTTACTTCAATATGGGATGGGAAATTCATAAAGCGTTTTTGCTGTGAGGACAAGAAAAAAATTATTACTTCAATAGGGCATCACATATTACATCACGGAGGGAATATTCTTTATTAACGACATCGAGTTATGTATCGTTCGTTAGAGCGAGGATCGGCAACTATGTTTTTTGTTCAATTAGTCTGTATTTTTTCTAAAGGAAGCTCTCCTGTGATTACGTTTATGTTTGACACATCTGCAACTGATATTGCTACTAGGGCATTTATTACTGCAGTCAGGGCAGAATTTTAGTGCAGGGCTGTCATTTGCTAAGAGGGCGAATGTCTTTCTTTTCCATTAGGAACGGCGACACTCGAAATTAGAACGGGATAAATGTATATTACATTTTGAAGAGCACTATGTTTACGGGAGGATTCGTACAAGAGTATTAAAAATATTGTACATAACAGGAAGATGAGAAAAGCATAATTAAAAATGTTAATGAGTGTCCCGTAATACACTTTTCTGGAAATACATGCTGTATATGTGCACACGATCGAAAATTAGCATGCAAGATTTTGAAGTTTAGTATACATGCCCTTTGAAATTCCTGTACTAGTATACTAAAATCCGGAACACAATTGTACGTGACATTTGGAAATATCATATTTTGATAAAACCGACTACATGTACATCAATATTTCGAACAGATATTTTTGATAGTGTAATTGTAAATTATTCGTATACAACCATTAAGCGATCCGACTGCTAGATGGTGTCTTATCCGCGTGGGGAATTTAACACTAGGTTTACGGGCGTTTTTTATATACCTGTTTCTACGAGCACCCGTCAAATAGACGGGTAAACGAAAACACGCATTTTCTTTAAAAAATCGATTTATTCAAATTAAGTCTGAATTAAACAACACTAGGCTTTACGTTTAAATAAATTATTAATAAGTAAAAAGTGCTTTTTTTTAAATTATCACGGAAATGATTTGAATGCTCGTCCTCTCATCCTCGGAGTCAGAACTAGAAAGAATACGCATCCTTTTCTTGCTACGACACCCTTTCAACAAGTTTTCCTCTTCACTATCCGAAGATCCTTCTATCTCTCCACTTTCAATGCAAACTTTCACTCTCATCTTCGCCTTACACTCACTGCAACGAAGCAAACATGTATGGATTGTTTATGAAATTAGCTAGTCCGTCAATTTGAAGGGTTTCGTAGAGATAGGTATACTACATACAGATTTTAATAATTAGAAGGCTTAGGAAAAAATAATTGTATGTACAAATTCTTTGGATGAAATGATTAATTTACGATACAAAAATGGTTAAAATTAATGCTATGGTTTTTTCGGTATTTCTTTTCGAAGTTTGAATTCTGTCAAATTGACGGGTCCCGTAAACCTAGTGTTAATCTTAGACTTCATCTATGCGGTAGAATCTGTTAAAGGAATCCGCGAAATCTGTTCTCGGCTTTTCGCTGACTCCTTCTCTCCGTATAAGGTCAGTTCGAATCCGCAAAGGGGTCGTAAAGTCGATGTCGTCGTCGAACGAAAATTGCCATCTTCTAAGAGGCGTCCGAAGTAACGCCATATCCTCTCTTCTCTTTGCCCTGACACTTCGCGTCTCCTTATCACTCGCCGGTATCTTGACACTCGAGCTCCCCCAAGTTTGTCCCAGTTTTGTGGATCTCTTCGTACACACAATACGACGCGGGGACGAAAAGTTTCTCTCCGGAGGTTCGCGTGTAAAATGGCGAAGGAAAAGTAAGGCGTCTCCTGTTACACGAAGTTAACGTGTCGGGAGTTGGAGAAATATCGATGCAAAGAGGTTACCTAGTCCTTAACTTCCTCGGACATGTCTCGATGTCATTAGAAGTTGTCGATCAATTTTATCTCTGCTGAGATTCCCCATGGGAATCAAGTCTCGAGCCTTTTAATATAATATAATATAATACATTATTAACGGAGATCGGGTACAATTGTAACGC